TGTATACCAGTAACTGGTAGTAAGTCCAAACTGATTAGTGCCAAAAGTTGTCCAGCTCCCAATGAAGCCTTTAGTGGTGAAGCACAGAATATTTCTCTCCAGGTGGCCTGTCTTAACAGTTTTGTTAATAGAATGTTTGTGTAGCTATTTATAAGTGTATGTGTGTTTAAAATGGTAACAATGAGATGTTAATGTACAGTTATCATCCGTACCCAAGGCGTATTAGCTACCATACATATTTATTTTTTACCTCTGTATTCGAGGGGATACAGACAAGTAGAACAGTACATTTTGACGTACGATTATAATAATAGTGTACTTTCTAAGCCATCATACATTTCAGGAGCTGCAGGATCTTCTAATTATACATATTTCAATTCCAGAGTAAACAGCTGTTCCTTTTAAAGAATCCTTGGAGTCATGTCCGCTGGAAGGGTAACTTTTCTGAACTTGATACCAGAAACTGGACACCAAAACTACAAGAAGCTCTTAAGTATGACCCAAGAAATGCAAAGATGTTTGACAATGGTACGAATCTTGTTTTTATTGATTACTGATAACACATTGTTTTGTATCTTCATAAGCTATATTGGCAGGCAACAATTAAAATATAGTTAAAAGCAAACAACTTAGGCACTGCGTAGGAATCTTAATTCTGATTATTATATTATTTATGGTGGTTACATATAGCAGTTATAACTATCTGCTGTGACAAGGTTCTCATGATTTCTTTTCTTTTCCTATCATCAGGCGTGTTCTGGATAGATTACGAGTCAATCTGTCGATTTTATGACATCATTTATCTGAACTGGAATCCAAATCTCTTCAAGTACACATTTGCACTTCATCAGTGAGTTTTTTTTATTTATGTTATATATCGTTCGACTGAACTCTTAATTTATCTTCGTTTTACAGTACGCTACATGTACACATGAGTATGATACACGTACTTATCAGTACGATCACGAGTACTTGTCAATATGATATAGAAATTAAATTTTTTCCTTTGTGAGACACTAACCATAGGTCACCAAATGTTATACAGATTGTTTTATTAGTTATTTGATTCAGGTAATCATCTGTTTCATGATTTTATTTGAATCAGATATGTTGTCTGTTTCCTACATGTGAGTGTGCTTGAATCAGATACGTCCACTGTTTCTTACATGTGAGTGTGCTTGAATCAGATACATCCACTGTTTCCTGCATGTGAGTGTGCTTGAATCAGATACGTCCTCTGTTTCCTGCATGTGAGTGTGCTTGAATCAGATACATCCTCTGTTTCCAACATGTGAGTGTGCTTGAATCAGATACATCCTCTGTTTCCTGCATGTGAGTGTGCTTGAATCAGATACGTCCTCTGTTTCCTGCATGTAAGTGTGCTTGAATCAGATACGTCCTCTGTTTCCTACATGTGAGTGTGCTTGAATCAGATACGTCCACTGTTTCCTGCATGTGAGTGTGCTTGAATCAGATATGTCCTCTGTTTCCTGCATGTGAGTGTGCTTGAATCAGATACGTCCTCTGTTTCCTACATGTGAGTGTGCTTGAATCAGATACATCCACCGTTTCCTACATGTGAGTGTGCTTGAATCAGATACATCCACTGTTTCCTGTATGTGAGTGTGCTTGAATCAGATACATCCACTGTTTCCTGTATGTGAGTGTGCTTGAATCAGATAC